ACGATAGCAATTAGTAATTAGTAATAGAAGAATTACAAGATAAAAAGAAAGAAATTGTATACTTATCTCTTTAGTCTATTCAATAAATTTTTCATTGTGCCATGTTTAAATTCCAGCTGCATCTTTTGTTGTGACAGTAATAAGAATTGTCAGCTAATTTAAGAATTATTTCAAATTAATTGTACTTGATAGATTATTAAAAAAGTTACAAGTAGTATAACAAATACTACACTTTTTATATAAAAAATAAAATTTTATAAAAACTAATATAAAGCAGATTGGATTATCTGATTATTAATACCTTTTAAAAGGTATTAGTTTTAAGCTTTTAGTATTGGTTTAGAATTTCAATACTAAAATTTTACAACTTTCTTTATATACAATACATAAAATAGTCACCAAAAGCAATGCCCAAATCAATTTTATCCGATTTATAATTTATACTCTTTTTAATTTCTATTATTTTATAATATAATTATATGAATTTTACTATTTATTACCACTAGTAATCATTACTGGTATTGCTATATCTCAAAAATGTATTAAGTAAACAGAATTGGGTATTTTAAGTAAAAATGTTCAGTACTTCCAAAAACTTTATAAAAACTAAAATTAGGCTTATATTAGCTCTATATTATATTATATAAAAAAAAATAATTCTCTAATTTCTAACTCTAATTCTAACAAACCTTAGAACTGGTAATAATCACCACTGGTGATATATAGTAATTTTCTATTTATATATTCTATTTATATATTTTATTTTGATAATATTAATAACTAATAAATTTATTCTTCATATTAGCAAACTTATATATAATTAGATTCTTGATAAACAAGTATCTTATAATTATTTTTTTTAACTCTATTTTGACATAAAAATAAGTTGTTAAATTTGAGATTTAAAATGAGATAAAATACAAATACTTACTAATCTTTGCTATTTGAGAAAGAGCATATTACTTTAAAGTATCAAGTGCAATAGCTATTTCTTTTTAATTAATTCTTGAAAATAAATAAAAGCTTTCTCTTTATCTGTTGCAGTATTGTTTTCTAAATAAATTGTTTAAAGTAAGTAAGCTTTATTTATTTTATAAGTCTAAATTCTGATTTGATTACCACTTTTGATAAAGAACAAATAAAATTTATTTATTTATTTCAACCTCAATTCTATATAAATTTTTCATATCAGCAGATTCCTGAAACTGAATAAATAAATTTTGTTTATCCATTTTCTAAATAAAAAGTATATAAAGTAAGTAATCACACATTCATTTTATTTTATTAAACTATTCCAAATTTATGTTTTGATTTTCTACACCAACTGATTTTTGATATTGAATAAATAAATTTTGTTTATTTATTTCAGCTTTAATTCCATCAAACTTTCTATTTAACAGATTTTTGAAAATGAATGAATGAATTTTGTTCATCTTTTCTGGTTCTATTTTCTAAAATATAATTATTATTATTATTTGGCTTTATCCAGTCAAAATTTGCATTTTTTTTTTTTTTTTAGCCAGAATTGAACATTCACCAAACTTTGAGTACTAAAATAAATACCATCAATGTCCATCTCAAAACCTGTATAATAATTTCCACTACTAGAATTTGTAACATCTGTCTCATCATGAGCAATATAGTTAGTAATGTCTTACAGTTAGATTGCAAAATTATAACTTACTATTCAATTCCATTTTATTACTTGAAGGAACTATAGTACAATAAATTATCAAATTTATTTCTAACAAATTATTCATACGTTATAAAAATAAAAACCATCTATTTTAGGAGTGACATAATTCAATCAGATGTGGGTTCTGTGTGCACAGAAACTATTGGTTTGGGACGAATAATAGGGGCATTAAATTCTGTTGGAGAAAAATTTTTCCAAATCTTGCGTGAGGTAATCACCTAGTACGAGTTAATCCAGTAATTGCACCTTCCACTGGCCACTCCCAGCAATACAATTTTGAAATTTCAGCCATGGTTTTAGGTTTGGTTTTTTTTTTTTTTATTTGAATTTCTTTTTTTTTTTTTTTTATTAAATCCGACGTCTTCAACTCCTGATTCACTATATTCATCGTCACGATTTATTGTAATTTGTGCCAATAATGTTCCGGCCAGCCCTTTCGCTCTTCAACTTTGCCTTCACCTTCAGTTAAGTCAAACCCAACTCGTACATATTGTTAAATGCTATGGTTGATCTATTGCCATCATAAAAGGTAATAATACGAATGACGATATGTTCAAACATTGCTATTACTATGATTATTCAATACTGTAATAATTGTAGTGATGCTCATTTGCAACTATAGGTCAAAATAAAGAATCTCAATCACAAGTTGAGAGGATTCTAAATAGTTTATCGAAAATTTGCAAAAAATATATGTTGATAATGAAAATCCATAATAAAGTATGAAAACACTTGAACAATACTTTTTCATTTTAATATTTATAAAGTTTTGATAAATCAGGGCAAAAAAAAGGTGGTTAGGGATTATTTAACAATTTTCTCACGTAATAAACTACCTTACTCATCTTAATGACAAGCTCGATTGATCGATTAAAATTATTTTCCGTTAATTAAAATTTAATTCCGACGCATTTTTGACATTTTTTGATCCATTAATTGAGGCGCTTGAGAACGCCCTAAGTATCGTTATCTACCGGGTCCAAGCTCTAATTGAAATTTATACAGTACATATACACCACGTTCATAAATTATTAAATGATTTTTTTTATTAGATATTACAACATTAATCGGATTATTTAGGCTTAATAATTTTCAAAATTTCTTACAAGTGTAAAATAAACAATGATGCATACTTTTGTTACTTTTAACCGTTTCTTATAATGCATATAATTTAGTTATAATATTTTATATTCTTTCTACTTTAATGCATTACTAGATGTATATTATGGGATCAATGATTATTAATGCTCACATTAAATAGTTAAGACAGAATCTAATTCCATTATTGTTGCATTTCAAGAGAATATCGTATATTCCTCAGGCAGTTGAAAATTACCAATATGTCCTTATATTGTATCATTTCTATATATATAAATAAAAACCAGAAAATTTATTGTCGAGAATAGTATTATACATTTCTTTCAGATTTATTCCGTAATCTTACAAGCCATTTCAGGATTCGATCAATGATAGTATAACGTGGTAAAATTGTGGTAAAAATGTGAAACGGTGTACAACGTGCAATGAAATTCCTTTATCCGGCAAACTCATATGATCATGAAAAAATTTCTTTCTGTTATTTTTTTCATGTGTTACGATATAATTATGTTATTCCAATATTCAAAAAATAAAACTCAGCGAGCGACTCCCTACCAATCATGATCATAAATTGCCGGATAACACCATTATTGGGCAAATTGTCGAATACGGTAATTTGGCAAATGATTGGCTACACGTGCCGCAAAGCGGCACGTGCTCATTTGCCAAATTGCCGTTATTCAACAATTTTTGCCCAATAATGTATACTTATTATCGTTATTCATAATATCGCTTTTCAGAAATAAACCTTCATTGACAACGCATTCGCATTCATTAAAAAACATATTCAGGTATCCATTACATCATGCCGATAACAAGAAAAAGTCATAATATATACATCTTATATGTTTAGATTATTATGCAAAAAAGCCGATAACAATTAAGCGAGCAGTTCTAACGCTAATGTAACTATATAAATATAGTTTACATAATCAAGTAACTAAATATTGTATACGTAACTAAACGACTAGGTAAATAAAATTTAACGAATTAGCCGAGTCAAAAAATTTATTCACTATGTTCTATCATTTAAGGTTATTTGTATCGCTTGTGATTTCCAGTTTCATTAATGTTGTTAAACTTTCACCAAAGATAAACGTATCAATATTGTGTTGCTTTGGCATTTCAATTTAGACAAATAAATCTATTTATTATAAATATTGTCCAAAATTGTTTGATTAACATTTCATATATAGAAAGAGTCATGAAAATCAGTGCAATGCTTTGTATTCATGCGCCACGGTGTTTATATAAAAGATTTTGTAGTAGGTACCATTATTTAGTCTTTAGAGACTAAATTTTGTGCGCAATAATTTACAAAAACGTTCAAAATATAATTATGGCTTCCGTTAAAACATATTCAATCTCAAGTAACTCTACAACAGCTTTTAATACAGCAACAACAGTTGTTTCAACAGTTACTGATGTAGTAGCTCTCTATGTGCCTCTAATCACTGCAGTAAAAATTTTAGTTGATGAAATTTATAAAATTTGTAATGCTGCAGAATGTAATAAAGAAATTTGCTTTAGAATGAAAAACCGAGTGAAAGCAGCAGAATGCTCTGTGGAAAAAATAGAAAGAAGTATAGATACAAAGAAAGAATTTCGTGAAAAATCGTATTATTTAGCTTTTGATAAATTTAAAAAAATTTTGACAAAAGTTAAAGATTTTACTATGGATGTATCGAATCTTAAAGGGTTTAAAAGGTTTATTAATGCACAAGATGTAAAAACTAGATATGAAGGTTTAACAAAAGAATTTGATGAATGTATGCAAGACCTGCATTTTGCTGTCGTTGTTAATAATCTATTTGATAAAGAAGAAGAAACTCAAAATATTGATAAAGAATTAAAAGAAGTTAGTCAAGTAAGTATAATCGTTTGGAATTTCTTATCTTTGATATTAATCTAAATACTGTATATTTTATTAATTTTTATTTTTACGATTATCCATTTTAGCTTCTTAACAAACTCGGTGATCAATACGAAAAGTTGGCACAAGACGTAAACATTATGAAAGCTAACAAACAAGCAAGTGAAATCAATGAAAACAAGATTAATGAAAATGAATTAGTTGATCCTACATTTCGAAAAGATGATTATGTACGTGGCAATGTTGTCAAAAAGATTTATAAATCATTAAACGTTGAAGTTGCATGCAAACCTGTTGAAAATTCCGAACGTCATGAATCTGAATTAACAATTCTTAGCAAAATAAGTCAATCACCTCATATACTCCGTTTTTATGGTCATTCAACTGTTAATAACCGTCAAGTTATGGTTTTTGCATGGGCTGAGCTTGGAACTTTAAAAGAACTTTATAATAAATTTGATATTCCTTGGCCTAGAAAAATACAAATGATTAATGATATTTGTCGTGGTATTTCATTTTTACGTACTGTAAATATTTTTCATCATGATCTTAGATGTGAAAATATTTTTGTAAGTATAACTAAAAAAAATAATGAATAATATTTAGTATGTTTAATATGTTAATATGTTTAGTAAGTTTGAATGACATTATTAAACATTCAATTATAGGTACTACGTAACTTGAACGTAAAAATTGGAAATTTTAAACATGCTCGAAAAATAGATGATAATTCTCGTAACCTTAAAGATTTATTAGTTGATATTATTCGTTGGATGGCTCCTGAATTAATTGAGAAAAAATATAAGGAAGGAAGTAAACATGTAAACGAAAGAGTTTATACTTTTGATTGTGAAATGTTCAGGTAATTATTGTTCAATTTTATACCGATCTTTGAATATATAACTTTATCAGTTACTTTCTAAATTAATTATCATTACCCAAAAACCAGTTTTGGAATGCTTATTTGGGAACTTTGTTATGAAAAGGTTCCTTATGAAAATTGGGATGTGCCACGAATCATAGATCATGTTTTAAAGGGTAAGAGAGAAAATGTTTCTGAAGGAAGATTTAAAAATTCTGATGATAAAGAAATTCAGATAGAATTTATTAAGATCATTAATAAAGGTAACTTATTATCTTTATAAATTTTATTAATTTTATTAATTTTACTGTTTTATCATCTATATTTTTAATTAATTTCCTCCTTAATTGATAAATAGCATGGCTTCATACCCCAAATTCACGAATATCTATTGCGGAGCTAAGCTATAAACTTGATGAATTGGCTGAAAAATATCCACTTCCTCATGATACACCATTGCTTTTACAGAATAATGAATTAGATTTTGAAGGAAAGAATTGTCAAGATTATACAGAATGTTTGTCGCCAAAGTTAGAAATAAAAATTGAGGATCAGATAAATCAAGTTATTACGGAATCCTTACTTCCAAGCTTTGATGATGATCCTGAGGAAATTATTGAGGAAAATGATATTATTGTGCCACTTGAAGATGGTGTAAAGTTGCATAATGCAAAGAAATATGAAGATGCATGGAAATGTTTCATACAAAATTCTGAACTTCCTGCTGCAAAATTCTGGCAAGGTTATTACTATTACAATGGATATTTCGTAGAAAGAGATCTAGATAAAGCCAGAAATCTTTTTAAAGAAGCTGCTAATGAAAATCATACTGAATCACAATATCGGTATGCGGTTATGTTACTTTCTAAAAAAGAGGATGATGAAACTGCAAAAGATAAAAATCGTCAGGAAATTATACGTTATTTTAAATTAGCGGCTGAAAAGAAAAATATTGATGCAATGTATTATTTGGGTGATATTTATTTGAATGGAAAACTTAGAGTACCTAAAGATGAAGAGCGTGGATTAAGTTATTTAAAATTAGCTGCCAAAAGTAATAATAAGAAGGCATTAGAAAAATTAGAGAAGCTAGGTATAAAAGTTTAGGTTTTGTTCTTATTTTGTCGTGCTTTTCAAATTACATCGCATGTCAAATGGAAATTGTAGCTAATATTTAAACTGCCAACTTAAGATTGAATTACCCGGTCTTTTCTTCATATATTTATTTTAATCTTTTATTATATATGATATCTTATTAGATATATTTCTTTATTTCATGAATTTTTCTATTTTATCTTTTTAGTAACATATTTTAAATAAATGTACTAACTGATTCAAAAAGAAAGAAGACTTAAGAAAATTTTCTAATTTTATTATATCATGGTTTTGCATCTTATTCTAGGGTAGTTTTATAATATAAAAATATTTACTAATATTCTAAATTTTTTATCTAAAGTAATAAAATATAGATTTTGAAATTAAATTCAAATTCGTTAAATTATTATTATTTTTTTTATTAAAGGGCGATCTTGCCTGTATGTCGTATTTATTATTAATAATGTATGATTACAAGTTTTTATATATACAATGTATATCAACGAAAGTACAACTAGTCACATGTATAACTTTAGTCATTATCTAATTAAGGGTTCCGCCCATAGGTTACCCACTAGATGCCATACCTGAGACCCGCCTG